AGGGTATCTAAAAGATAGTAATGCTGCGGCACATTCTGTTGATAGTGACATATTTAACGCCGTGATTCATGTTTTTGCGCGTGCCAAGACTTATATAAACCTTTATTTCTTAAAGTAGTGTCAAATCGTGGTGCGTAACTTAAAATCTGTCCTTGTATGCATCAACTTCATGCATGATGACGCATCGATGGCGAGGTGTGACAAGGGACTACGTTTAGACATAAATGATACACATCAATCTCCCCTTTACCAGATCGCGAAAATCGAATGATGCGGAAATTGTTGGAGCGGAAATCTAACTTATAAATTCTGTACTGGTACGCATTAAATATCTCAAGAATGTTGACAGACTGAGTCGAGGACGCGTCCATCGCGATCTGTGAAAATGTTCAAGCTTTAGCTTAAATTCATGTTTGGATGAAAAGGAATAGATTGCAGCATATATGAAAATAGCGTGTTCTACAGTTTTCGTTTCTTTTAATTATTCCACAGGCTTTAGTAACGACGATTTCTCTTCATTTAAGAATTCGACCAAGCGAGACTGCTACGAAATGACATACTAAGTTTACGATTAAGATGTCACAATTAATCGTCCAGATTTACAAACTTTCACATACTGCATTAAGAACAAAAGCAAGATTTGTGAAAGTCAAGCACGATCTCCTTCACATCGCTTTACAGGTAAATCAGAGCATAGTTATGATCAGAGCAAACTTTCTTACTGGAAAAGGACGACGGCTCGAAAAGTGTGACATCCTCGTGTTGTTCGTGGCGCAATGCACTCTGGTAACAATTGGCGCAGTGCACTCTGGTTAAATGCAATGCATTCTGGTAAAAAGTGATAAATTCGAGAATAGGCCAATTCCGATATATTAAAATTCTAACTTGCCTCCGAGGCTTAGGGGAATAAAACAAAAGAAATCGCATCGAGAATGAGGGATGAATAATTAATTTCTTTTGTTTTATTCCCTTAAAGCCTCGGAGCCAAGTTAGAATTTTAATATATCGCAATTGGCCTATTCGTACACCCTTCTATATATTGTTCTTAAATCTTGATTATGTTGCTGCTTGCTCGCTATGCTCGCCCCGCAGCAACAATGGAAGTCTGTTTTATTTGACGCTATTTCTCGGCCACGCCGTTTTTCAATCTTAACAAGGCAAGTCCGTTTTCTTTGACGATATTTCTCGAGATTTTTCGTCCGCCATTAATGGGGGATAATCCTACCTATACCGCACAACAATGGGGGCTGGAACTAGTGAAACTGTGACGTCATACTTGCAATGCAAACCTCCACATGGCTTAGAATGTGACAGAGAGTTCACGTTCTTGGACGAAGTTTTGTAAAGGCTGTGAAGCATCCAATGTTTCGCGGATCAAGGTAGCTACAAATCTGAGAATGAGTAAGCTGGTACTCCGGCGGATTAACACGAGGTATAAATAGCGTACCGTGGTCGTATCATTTTCGTGGTCGATCGAAGAAGTTTTTTCATGAGGTTTTGGTCTTTCCCCTCACGGCAATTAATCCGTAGTGCGAATTCTTAAGGCAAAATGATTCTCCCTATACAGCCCTGACACTTTGCATATTGCATGAATTCTACCAGTTCGGCATAGCATTATCCTGACTACATCTGGTTATCAATTATTTATTAATTATTTTTACCGATTCCAGACCTGCCACCAGCTTATCCTTCAACTGTGGAATAATTCCAATCCAGCGAATGACGCCAAATCGGGGAAGACCTTCAGACATAGGAACCTCTACCATGGAACCCACTTTGAAACCATGAGGATTGTCCTCTGCCATTTGAGCATTCACGAAACCTGGATGAAAGACAAGAAGATCTAAGAGCTTTGAACTGGGTCTTAATCCTCAAAATCACTTTTTTCGGATGAAAGGCCTGGCGCAACAAAGTGAAAGCTTTTGAAAAATAGTGGCGCAAGCCACGAAAAGGTCCAAGATTTGCGTGAGTCAAAGTGCGCGGGAATTTTCCTAATCACATTTCATCCGCATTCCTGGATGAATTCTGTATATAGATTGTTTTTACAGTCACGTAATAAAAAATTACTGAAATCGAAAACCATTCCGTGGCTGGAAAAAGCTAAGAAATGATGTTATAGAAGATAACTAAATAAGACACTTCTCCAAGTGTTAGACCTGTGCGTTTCCCCAAACTTCAGATATTCGTCGAAATGTTTCGCAGAAATATACAGAGGCCCAGTATGAAAACGTCATGTTGGTGTACATCCATGGTACACCAATATGGCGGCCGGAAAATGTGTAAGCATCTGGAACTTACTTTGGCTATCTAGGCGACTGATTATCAGTACGGAACAAACAAGCATTTACATAAGCACTTTTCCTAATGCTCTAACTTCTAAAAACGCTCACAATTGTGAGATAAGTATATATTTTTCAACAAACTCGATCATAGCCTTGTGTCATACACCTCCATAACCCTGAATTTCAAAATGCTCTCGACTGGTTTCCAAACGAAGAACGCTATTGAGCTGTAAAATTGCAAACAGATATTAACATACCATCTCTTATGCCTGATGAGGATAAAAACTTTGGCGGCTCTTTAGTTTTGGATTTTAGAAAGTGATGACGTCACGTGAAAACGATCTATAGATAGGATCTGTGTAAAAAAGGGGTATCTAATACACCTTATTCCAAAATGGCCGCCATTTTAGTATTCTTTTGTTTACTTGAAGATGAGCCCTTGTTGCCTCGTTTAAGGGAAAATATTCTTTTGAATATCGAGTTTAAGAACGAGGAAACAAGGTCTAATTTGCAAGTAAACAAAAGAATAGTTAAATGGCAGCCATTTTGCAATAAGGCAAATGGTCTTTGCGATCATTTGCGAGCATGCGAGCAGTGCGTTTATTTTTCCGAGCACGAGCAGTGATCAAATTTGTCTTACGAGCAGCGAGCACTTCAGAAAATGTAGATGGCGAGCAACGAGCTGTTCGTAAATTTTCCGCTAGCTGAGGACGGTGCCTACTTTTGTTAGTGCGCACACGTTCTGCGCATCACGCAGGCCATGGTTTAGCTCCACGCGCGCGCCGGGGCTGACATTTCACGCAATCAACTACGCTATCACCTACACGACTAAAATGAAAGCAAAATTTTCCTACTGTGACCAAATCAAGTTTAATGAACCTGTACTTAAACCAGGAACACCAGAATAACAGCATATTGCTAACCACAAACTGTTTACGTCTTCCAGCTGAACACCTCGCTATTATCTGTCGAAAATTACACTGAAATCCAACTGTAAACATGTACCTACAGATGGTGTAGTGCGTGCGCAAAACAAGTGCGAGATACGCAAATGTCTCACTTACTGGGGAGGTAACAGGAAAAAATGTAACGGGCACCGTAAAAGTTTTCAAAAAAGATGAATAACTTAAAAAAACGCTATAAAATGGAAGTGGCAAGTCTATTCAACACGTGATTAGTTTCTGGTTGTGAGCAAAAGGTATTTAGACTGTCCCAGAGGAAGGCTGTTAGATATGTTAAAAGCGCTTTTGCAACGATTTTGTTATTAAAAACATATCAAAAATGTTTTTTTGTTACCATTTGCCATGTAGGGTAAAGATTTTTTAAATGTGTTTGCTTTTCTGTATGTAAAGGCGAATTCTATGGAAATCTGTGAAGAAATATCCTTTCCTTCTTTTTTCAGGAAAATGTTGATGTCAGCATTTTTGTTTAGATTCAAGGCTAATTATCTCGCAAAAATGCGTGGCTACCCCCATTTTTCTTTCTGGATTTCAATAGCCCTTGCAAAGATCTACTTTTTCCGCGTGGTCCTTACCTGGCGCAAAAACCTTTGTATTTAGTAGGCACCGTCCTTAATTTAAAAGGAAAAGTTGTTTTGAGCCAAGTAATCTGGCTCACACTTCCAAAACAGGACAATATGCACAAAGCTAGAGACAGCATGTTATAGGCAGCATGTTAGGATCTTATCGCGGCTCAACCAATCTCAGCCGCTTATTGCGCTAACAGTCAGTATGCCTTGTTTGATGCCAAATTACGTCACTTAGCTTCACATGAGTAAGTGGATGGACGCTCAAGGAGATCTAAAGCCAGTCTCTATCCACAAGAAAAACCTAAATGCTACCAGACTCCAGAATCTGAGCATGCGAGCAGTTGCAAAAATTTTGCGAGCAATTCGAGCAAAGGCGCAATTTTGCGAGCACTTTCAAATTGAATGGGACCTCTTCTTCTTTTTAGAAAAGACTCAAACCAATTATCAGGACAAAAAAAAATATTTCACTCAAAAAGAGCAAAGTATTCCGAAATTAAAACGCTTATAAAACCGGGCTATCTTATCTTCGTAAAACGGCTATCAACCTCACATAATCATATCGAGAATACGGCATAAATATCTTCTTTCATTTTATTCTGCTCAGCCTTGAAAAACTCTAATATGTAAAAATTGGCCTAAGATTTGACTCCTAGTGGGGAGTCACCAGTTTCCTAGCTACTTATAACTGTCATAACTGCACGGTCTCTGTGCATAGCAGACAGTTTACCTCCATCCTGGATTACTGTACAAGTGAAAGTTGTGTTTACTATTTCCAATGCATCCTGCCTAATCCTTAAAAGTATTACCGCACATCTTTACAGTTCTGTTTAAAAAGGGCGGGTAAATAAGACAGTAAGGAAGGTTTAGATAAAGTGGGATAGAAGAAACCTTTAATAGTACTTATCTCAAGTGGCAATTCTTAGCGAAACGAGAGGAGCATGAAATGCCTGAAACCTCATTCACTAGTGTAAAAGAAAGTGCAAGAACTCCAGATAGAGCAACAAAATAAGATAGTTTAGCAATACTTTTTGCACTCTCCATCACTACTTGATCGAGCCCGCAATCTTAGCAGTGAAGTCCAGAAATTGTGCAATTAAAACCAAACTATGAAGACATGACTGATCATCGCAGTTATGCACTCAACTTAAGCAGTTGCAATTGTGAAATTAAAAGACTGAAAAAAAAATTCAGGCCTGAATGGGATTCGAACCCATAACCGCTGCGATACCGGTGCAGTCTTCTACCAACTGAGCTATCAAGCCAAATGGGAGTTGGTCACTTTGCGAGTTCGTAATATCCCGTAGATGGTAAAGAATACAAGTGACCATATGAAAGATCTCATATTAGTGATCTTTCATATATTGATCAATCATGTCTTCATATCTTTCTCCGCAGTTCGAATATGTGATCTTTCATATATTGACTTGTGTTCTTCACCATCTACGGGTATATATATTATTAAGTGACCAGCTCCCAGATGGCTTGATAGCTCCTTTGCACTGCGAAAGGAAAAGTGTTATTACCCAAAATATGAAACTAACACTTTCCCCCGACTAAAATCTGAGTCTATCTTGCTAAGTATGCTAGAATGCATGCGCCTTGCGCGTTGTGCCACAATGAAAAGCATCCAATGTGATCCCTTATTTAATGTAATTTCTCTTAGTATGTAGTGGAAAGCATAGTAGGCTAATCTTCTACTTCATATTTTACATGACGGAGCTTACACATAGGTTATTCCATCACCCTACCCCCTTCCCAAGACTGATAAATTAATCAATAAATTAATTAGTTAATATTGACTGTATTTTTTGCTTTATGAAAATAATAGTATGTTACTAACTGCGCGACCACGGATCGAACGTGATTCTTGCTTCGCTCGCGTTTATTTCTAGTTTTTAGAACCAGGGTCCCACTCAGCCGACTCAGACTTCTCTACAGAACTTTAACCCACGCAGCATTTGATGAACTATCAAGGGAACTATCAAGCGAATATGGGCAAGAAGAACCAGGTCTTTTCATGGTGACAACCGCGAAAGATACAAAGGATCCGTACTGAATGATGGATTAACGTGAGGACATTTTTTAAAGAAAAGTATGCTTGTTTACAGGGTAAAATGGTTTTGGTGTGATAAAAGCATTTTGAGAGTCGTCGTGGAAATGAAATGTTTGCCATTGTTTCAAAAAAGGTGTTTTTACAAGCATTAATGCTTGACGAAATTGGCAATATCCGGGTATTTTTGTGCATTCATACGGTAGACAATATTGTTGGATTTTGTGAGGGTATGAACTGTTTAAATTATCAAAATGGGGCATTGAACTGTGCAGGTGAACAACAAAGCTAGCCGTTGTGGTAAGTTGGGTTCTATCTATTTTTTTGTGCGGTTTTTGTGGGCTTATGCAATATGCAAATAAGCCCATTTAGCTAGCGAAATCTTGTCAGTTAGTTTGATGTGACGTCACATGACAGAGCTTTGGGAGCATGAATAGTCTGACAGGTAGACTAGTACTAGGAATTTCAAGTGATTGCTTTCGAGAGAAGGCGGCCATTGCTACATTTGTAGGACGCAATCGTTGCCAGCTCTTGCTATTTAAGAAATAAAAAACATGTACCGTGTTTCTATCGAGTTTTAGTATAAATCTACTAACGTTCTATCACGAATGGCGTTCTCTGATTGGCTATGCTACTCACTGTCTATTAAGTAATTAGATTATGAGCTCGACATTTCTATAGGGGAATCCTTGTTTACAATATTTGCCTCATTAGCATAAGCAATTCAGTATTTGATGGAGCTACAAATAACTCAGTTCTGAATATTGAAATGTCATAGTACGATTAACTCTGCCAGTGAATATGAGCCTGATTAATTGAACACTTTTTGTGCAGCACGGTTTTAAAACTCAAAATTTTACAAAAAATGTATGAGCTCATTAGTGCTTTTTCCACCCAGAAATTTTGCAGTTTTTGAGGATAATATCTCCTGAATATTAGACCCAACGAGCTAAACATTTCAC